CCCTACATTCTTCCTTCCTGTCAAGATTTTAGGCATGCATGTGTAGCATATGTATCTGGTGTGTTTTTTCAAGCTGCTGGAGCTGGGATTAGAACCTCAGTTGAATCCACGTGGAATCTGGTTTGCTTAACTGCTGTGCTATGGAGCCAGCACTACAAACCACTACTTTAAAGAAAATGAAATCTACTCCCCTAATTTTTGGTATTTTCTTTCTGACTTGAATTTGCTATGTTTGGTCACATCAAATGAATTCATATGTATATGAGACTTTGTGAATCAGAATGAAGCCAACATCCTCAAAATGTAATAATGAAAGAAAAAATTTCAGAACCCACAGAAAAATCATGACAACCAAAAATGTAAGTTTATTGAGCCCTCCCAAAGGTTAATATTTTTAAAAATATTTATTTAATTTTATTTATTACTATTATTATCATTATTTTTTATTTGATCAGAGAAAGAAAGAGGGAGCGAGAGAGAGAAGGAAAATGAGAAAGCAAGCCTCCAGGTGAGAAGGAAAATGAGAAAGCAAGCCTCCAGGTCCAGGATCAAACCGTGGTTGGCCATGTGGAAGTCCAGCACCTTAACCACCACACCGCCTGCTGGCCCCCCAAAGGTCAATGTTTAAATGACATACAATACTTTTACAACTCTATTACTTGGCCATGACTTTTTAGAGTATCCTTAAAACAAAACCAAGAGAGGCTGGCAGGCGGCATGGACTCCCACATGGCTGACCATGGTTCTAGTCCTGGACCTGGCAGCTTGCTTTCTCACTTTCCCTCTCTGTGTCTCACTCACTTTTGTCCCTCTTTGGTCAAATTAAAACAGGTAAATAAATAAAGTTAAAATAAAAATAATTCTTTTAAAAAAACCTACCAAAAAAAAGAAAAGAAAAACCTTAAATTCTTTTAAGAACTGAAAACCTACCCCTACCCGTACAATGAAGAAATGTCTTCTGTTATAAAGCAAACCCCTTGTTAAAATCATCAGTCTGATCTGGAGTCATTTTGAGCAACATATCAGGAAGACATTCTGAATCCAAAGAAAGCAGCTCACATGATCAGGTAACTAAAAAGATCCTGAGGTTTCTGGCAAAACCATTCATCTTGTATTTAATAGGAAATAAAATATATATGCATAATATGAATAAAAACTAGTCTAAGAGAAAAGTTTTATTATAATTATCTTCAATGAACCTACACTTTTAAGAGGAGAATCAGTACCCAAAGGCTGGTATTCTGCTCTGCCTTTTTTTTTTGAGAGGTTTTTGCTATAGGGCGCGTGCGCTCGCCAGACAGACAGACCGAGACAGAGAGACAGAAAGTGAGAAATCACCCCCCAGGGGGGATGGTCACGCCACAATCCCTTCTCCTCCATTTTCCTCTCGGGATCTTGGGCACCCACGCACACGCGACCGGGGTGATTTTTAAGCCACCCGGTTCGGGACGCGAACTGCGGTCGACTACATGGGAGTCCAGCGACATAGCCATTACACTAACTGCTGGTCCCCTCTGTTCTGCTTTCCCCCCTCTGTTCTGCTTTTTAAAAGTAGGTCTCTAAGACAAATCAAAGGAGAAGAACAAAATTTCAGTTTGTTTTGATCTGTGTGTTTTGTATTCGTAAATGACATTTACCTTTAGTTACCAAGTCATGTAGCCAAAGGTTACAATACCATAATAGACAATTTGGAAAATATACTGCAAGCGGTTAATGACATTAAGTATGACAGGTTCTACATATAAGCCTTTGTGAATTCTTCCAGCTAAAAACCAAAATAAAAAGAAAATTGGCTTAAATTGTCCTAGGCTGATTTGGTATACATATGACAAAAATTGCTAAGGTTTTTTTTTCTTTTTCTTTTTTTTTTTTTTTCCATTTTCTCAAGAAAACCAAACACCCCATATTTTGCACCTGGACCCATGTAGTTCAAGTCAGTGTTGTACAACGGTCATGCCTGCAAACTTGTTAGTTCTGTGGTGAAGAGTATTTTTCTCAAATGCTCACCTTGAATCTGGCTAATCTCTTCTCTCCCCTCTTTTTCTCCAGGAGCCCAGGGCTTTTGGCTTCCGAAATGATAAAAGGTTGAAGGTCAAGCCTTTTCCCTTTCTCTTGTTTTCTTTTTAAATTTTCTGTATGATGCATGAGTTTTAATTTTGGTGACTGGAAAGTCCAAAAACATCATAAAATGGTGGGAGGTAGAACTCTGAGCTGAGCAGAGCCTGGTCTGTATCCATGTGGTTGCTAACTGTAAGGTTTTACAATTTTTTTCTACTCTTTAATAATAAAAATGGGTTATGGGGATAGGCTGCAAGTTTCTTTTTTTCCCTTTGATTTGCAAGAGGGTGCAAGCACTCTCTGGAGAGAGGCAGAAAGAGAGAGTGGAAAAGTGAGAAAGCATCCCCAGGAAGATGGCCATACCACAATCCCTTCTCTTCTATTCTCCTCTCAAGATTTTGGGCAATACATGCATATGCGCCCGGTGTATTTTTCAGGTCACCTGGTCTGGGACTTGAACCACACAGCTGGCCATGTGGGATCCAGCTGCTTTCAATCATCATGGCACTGGCTGGTCCCATGAATTTTTTTTTTTTTTTTTCCCATAGGATCTGTGTGTTTGTTGGAGAGAGACAATGAGAGGGAAAGTGAGAAATCACCCCTCGGGGGGAATGGCCACACCTCAATTCCCTTCTCTTCTATCCTCCTCCTGGGATCTTGGCCATGCACACACGTGTACCCAGTGTGATTTTCAAACTGCTACGTCTGGGACTGAAAACACAGTCAGTCATGTGTGAGTTCAGTGCCTTAACCATCACACCACCTGCTGGCCCCACCACCACCTCTTCTAAAAAAGTAAAAAGGTGTCAGGAGGATAAAGTCACTAACCTACAGGAAGGATATTTAATTTGGTAGATTTTGGGGGCAATTAACTTCTTTGTGGAAACAAAAGAATAAATGATAGTACCAGCTACTCTCAGGGGAAATATGGAAAACAAGATTTTGGGGCCAGCAGGTGGCGGGGTAGTTAAAGGTGCTGGATTCCCACATGGCTGACCATGTTCGAGTCTCAGACCTGATGGCTTACTTTCTCATTTTCCCTTTCTCTCTCTCTCTCTGGTCAAATGAAATAATGATAATAATAATAACAAATGGAATGAAATAAATAATTTTAAAAAGAGAAAAATAGGATTTTATCTTTCTAGAGTTAAAACAGGGTCAAGATTCTTTAATACTATAAGGAAGAGAGAATTTTCACTTATAAGCAGTATAACTATCAGCTTTCAAAGATCATTGGCCCAAAGTTCAAAGGAAGTATTTAAAATAAAAAAGTGAAATTAAGTCATATACTTGCTTTTAATGCTAGGTTTAACTGTAATAACCTAAGCAATAATGATAGTTTTGATTACTTTTAAAGTATATAACATTAAAAAACTTTTAAAAAGGGAGCCGGCAGGTGGTGTGGTGGTTAAGAGGCTGGACTCCCACACAGCTGACCATGGTTTGAATCCTGGATCTGGTGGCCTACTTTCTCACTTTCCTGATCTCTCTCACTCTCTCTGGTCAAATTAAAAAATAATAGCAACATATAAAATAATTTTAAAAATAAAAATAAATTCTAAAAAGTTCTTTTTCTTTTCAGTGATATTAGTTGAAGTGCTAAGAAGTGTAGACTGAAGTACTATGCGATACTGGAGTCACTCATGAAACAATTGGATGTTTTATTTGCTTACACAGGGATGACACACTCTACAAAGGTCCTTACCTCTGATTTCTATTATGAAGAAAAATATGGTGAACCTCTAGGTATTCAGGAATTCTAATACATACCTGTATTAGAAGTAGGGAAGTAGACATATATGGATTTTGCTACTTGTGAGCCAGTCTAACAAAAACAATAGGGAGTGGTACCAGGGAGAGAAAGGAAATTGAAATTGATGATTTCAGATTTTCAGATTATTAAATATAAATTAATCCTGTAACTGATTCTGCTTCAGAGGAAAAACAGAGGATTGGTGACTATATACAGTATTGTGGAAGTAAAGTTTGACAGGTACATGTATCCTTTTTTAGTTTTGCATTTCACTATTTTTAAAAAGAAGAATTATTTAATTTTATTTATTATTATTTTTAAAAATGTGCTACAGGGCATGTACACTCTACCAAAGAGAGACAAAGAGACAGGGAAAGTGAGAAAGCAAGCCGCCAGAGGAGGAACTCTGAATAGTGGTTGGCCATGAGGGAGTCCAGCACGCCTTAACCAGCATGCTGCCTGCTGGCCCTGCATTTCACTTTTTAAATATCATCGGCTTCTCATTTTGATATCTCAGTCAAACAACATATACAAACGTTAGTTGTGCAAAAGTGTAAATAGTCTTTCTAAAAGCCATACTTTACTCTCACATATAGTAGAAACTTACTGGTCTTTTTTTTTTTTTTAAAGATATTTTTGCTATAGGGTATGTGTGCTTGCCAGAGAGACAGAAAGCGAGAAATCACCCCTCAGGGGGAATGGCCACAGTGTGATCCCTTCTCCACTCTTCTCTTGAGATTTTGGCACACACACACACAAGCCTGGCATGAGTTTTTAAGCTGCTGGTTCTGAGACTGGAACTGCGGTCAACTATGTGGAAGTCCAGCAATGTAACCACTATGCCATTTGCTGGTTCCTGCTGGTCTACTGATCTTTCTTCTAATATACATCGGCGAAATATGAAAAAACAAAAACAAAAACAAAAAAAAACATAAGCTAGGAGTAAATTAGTTACTATGGCCAAGACTGGTGATGAAATTGGGTTCTTTAATTTCTGGTAAAATAATGAAAATAAACTTAACTATTTCTTCCACAAGAACATGTTGTTCTTAAGCCTACCTTGACATTCTGATTTTTCTCAGACACAGATAAATAAACTGAAAAGCTACCTTTAGAACACAGTTGCTGTTCACAAGGAGATTCCCTGGCTTAATGTCTCGATGCAAAATGCCAGCTGAGTGGAGATATTTCAAACCTGAAACAACAAAAAGATTTAATTGCAGATAATTAATTCCTTTTACTAGACCGATGATTTGGGAAAAACCCTAGAAGTTAACAACAGAGAATTTAAAACTCTTCCCTAAGTAACTACATAGTCAACATTATTAAAAGCTTGATTTAGTCCTACCTCAAAAAACTCTATTTTTTTCGGGAACTAGCAGTTAGCGTAATGGCTATGTCGCTGGACTCCCACATAGTCGAACGCGGTTCGCGTCCCGGACCCAGTGGCTTAAAACTCATGCCGGGCGCGTGTGCATGCGTGCCCAAGATCCCGAGAGGAGAATGGAGGAGAAGGGATTACGGCGTGACCATCCCCTCTGGGGGGTGATTTCTTTCTGTCTCTATGTCTCTCTCTGTCTGGCGAGCAGACGCGCCCCTATAGCGAAAACCTCTCAAAAAAACAAACAAAAAAAACAACAAACCCCCCCCCAAAAAAAACCCTCTATTTTTGCTATAATAAAATAAAGTGTCATCAAAGGTTTGTACAATCTAGAGATGATATTTATAATTTAAAAAATTAGTCCTGTCATTGATATGTCAATCTATGACTCTAAATCTGCTTTAACCAAATAGTTCACATTAACCAAAAGGGAGCCTTTTCCAGGAAAGATTTTTCACTACTAAGAGAAAATTCAGAAAGTTGCCCAAGTTTCTCAGTAGAATTCGCCACTGATAATCAAAAAAGATAATCACTTGTTAGATATTTTTGGCATGTTAAAAGACAGGGGCCTGTAGCATGGTAAAGGTCAGAGCCTTAGGGATGAGTTTGTTTTTTAAATAAAATACAGCAAATCACATTTTCACGAGTAAGAGGCAAATCTACCCCATGTCTACCTACCAAAGAATATTAACAGATCTATCAGAGGTGAACTTTCTAGTTTCGATACTGCTTATGAATTTTAATCCTTTTGGTAGATTTTTTAAAAATTCCTATTACATTTTTAATGAACTCCATGACAATATGCATCTATCAAGGAAAAATTCTAAAGGATGCACCTGAGGACCAGAAAAGGCATCAATAATGTTGGCTAAATAATTTCTCAGTCAAATCCATGTTTTTAGTGAGCTAGTTTGAATTATTAGTTGGCTGCTTCTATCAGTCTTCTCCGTCTGCTTTATGTTTTTGTTTTGTTTTGTTTTTTAATAAAAGAGAGATTTCTGCCACAGGGCATGTGCACTCTGGAGCGACAGAGAGCCAGAAAGTGAGAAATCACTTCCCAGGAAGGATGGCCACACTGTAATCCCTTCTCATCCACTCTCCTCTTGGGAATTTTGGTTATGCACGCACATGTGCCCGGCGTGAGTTTTAAGCTGCCAGGTCTGGGATTCAAACCGTGGTCGACTACATGGGAGTCCTGATATAACCACTACATCATCGGCTGGTCCCCATCTGCTTTGGTTTAAAAGGTCATTTTGTTTCTCTAGAGTTGGACTCAGATATATCAGCTAACACTGAGAGGCTTGCAGGATGGATGTCATTCAGACGGGATACAGTCCCTTTCCAATTTAGCCATCTAATGCCACATACTCCTATCAAGAACTAAAGGCTGTTTAATGGATTTGTGACAAACCATCCTGCTTATTTACCTCCTTAGACAGACCCACTCGACTGCCTAATAATTTTGACAGGGTCTTGTTTTCCATCACTGAAGATAACTATTAGGCCACCCTTAAGAGCCTTTCATTTAATATCAAATGTAGAAATTATGAAAAACACCCTGGCCAAAATAAAAAGGTCTTTAGAGAATAAGCAAGCTTTGGCAGGTCAGATTAAAGTTCAAATGAAAGCAAAACATTTCATTTATTCTGTGACAGAGATTTTTTTCTTCATAAAATCTTACCTCGCAAAATCTGATAAAGAAAAACTTTGACATGATCTGAGCTGAGTGGTTGAGGAGAGACGATAATTTTATGTAGGTCACTCTGCATCAATTCTGTGACAACATATCTTGAGGTTTTAAGTTAAGGAGAGTTTAGAGAATTTAGCCCCCAGGTCCCCTCAAAGTAGTCACCGTATCTAAAGAATAACCTCCATTCTCAAGGCTGAAAAAGTTTAGGGAATTGAAAGCTTCTAGACAGCAAGATAGATTTGAGAATTCCAGCCCACAAAAGATAAAACATTGCCCAAATTAAAAGAATTTCACGTTTAAAAATGTTAGTAGAAGTAAACAACAAAATGATTTCTCTATAATAAGCATTCCAAGAGAATATCAAAATGCAAACATTTTCAATAACAGGCAGGCCAGGAAAGAGTTCAAAGACCAAACAGTCTGGAGGTCTACTCAAGACACGTTACTGGAGTGTTCTCTGAATCCAAATAAAAGGGGATTGGTGACCTTTATTAGAGGTCTCTATGGCATCAGTGAAATAGATTCCAACACACCCATCAATTATGACTTAAGTTACTTTATCAAATATGGTACACCTAAAAAGCATGTTAGTTCAAATCCAAGTTTTCCCGTCATCAATCTTAATAACTTAGTTCTTTTATCACTTTAGTTCTTAAACATTTACAAAACCTCCTTATTAAATTTCAAGCTTCTTATGCTTTGTAATATGTTGTATCCTCAGGATTTTGTTCTGTCAACTCATGGAAGACAATCAAAAGCTGGAGGCTGGTTAAGCCATGGAGATGTGAACTTTAGAACTCTTAAATTATAGCACATAAATATTTGTGACATTAAGAATCAACTTCTGTCAAAAACATTACTGATTTTCTTCTATGCTTTGTTTTCAAGATTTAAGAATTTTTGTCTTCTCTTGAGCTGCCAATAGGTTCATGTACCTATTGAACAGAATCCTAACCTGTTTCCTGGCTTTAAGTCTCAAGCAAAGTTCTCTTAACATTTGTGGATTTTGATTTATTTAAGCTATAACTGCCTTAAATTAAAAATATATTAAAAAATACCTATTTAAGGACTATAGTAAGCTATATAGCCTCAGCCAGGTGCTACTTTGTAGTATATTCATTCTACTCACAGAATTTCATGCCTAAAGTCAGACTTGTGTTCACAGATATGTATATATTAGCTGAACTTGCTATTCCAAGTAGTTAGATTAGGATATATTGTGAAGTAAAATGTGTGTAGGGGGGAAAGGAATGAGAAGCAACTGTAGATACCAGAGATAGTATGGGAGGAGGGTGGGAAATGGCAGAGGGTGAGAAACATGGGGAGAAAATAAGTATATACATACATACATATACATGTGTGTGTGTGTGTGTGTGTGTGTGTATATATATATATACATATATGCACATGTGTTGTATGGCAAAAACAAAAAAAGTATATATACACACATCTGTATAGATGTATGTATATATACATGAAAATGAATAATGGAAAATTATTTGTTGACAATAACATGTATGATTAAGCCACTATACAGTGTATTATGGATGTGAAATCGCATACTGTATGCTATGATGATGTTCAGTGAATTATTGTAAAATAAATAAATTTAAAATAAAATAAAATAACAAAAGAAAATGTCTTTTGCTATACTTAGAATGGAATCAATTCATGTCTTACTCTGCTCACAAGAACTCATTGAAAGTTTGTACGGGTTTTGTTATTTAAACATAGCCTTACATAAGACAATTTCTATTGTATTTTAATGTTTTAGAAAAAACAAGGAGGTAAGAGAACAACTAGGAAGCAAGGACAGCTAATGATAGCATTTGACAAACACCCTTTACCTTGAGACTTTTTTTTTTTTAACTGCTTCAGGATACCAAACTGTGCCTTTCTTTCTCCCTTGGTTGCTCTTGTAAGTTTACTTTGTGGGTTCTCTTAACTTCTCCAATCACTTAATGAAGAAATGCCCCAGGGCGTGGTCCTGAGTCCTCTTCTCTATCCACATCCATATTCTCTTATCAAGACTTAGTTCTAGTCCCATGTCTTTAAATAACCTCCACACAGGGCCAGCAGGTGGTGGGTGTAGTGGTTAAGGTGCTGGACTCCCACATGGCCAACTTGGGTTGAGTCCTGGACCTGGCAGCTTGAAACTCATGCTGGGCACGTGTGCGTGTATGCCCAAAAAAAATCCTGAGAGAAGAATGGAGAAGGGATTGCAGTGTGGTCATATTCCATGGAAGGTGATTTCTCACTTTGTCTCTGGTGTGTGCACATGCCCTATAGCAAAAATCTTATAAACTCCCCTCCCCCCCACCAGAAAAAAAACAAAAAGCAAACCTCCACACTGATGACCAAACCTCTTTCTCTAGTTAATCTTTCCGTTAAGTGCAGCTAACTTGTATGTCAAACTGCCTACTCATTATCTTCACTGGATGACTAATTAACATTTCAAACTAACATGTCCAAAACTGTATTTCTGATCGTTCCTCCACCACTTTCGAGCTGCAGTCTCTCCCATAACAAACCTATTTTCCTCAGCAAGTTCTTCACACAACAAACCACAGATCTCTCAGACATCCTTAATTCCCCTTTCTCCCACCATACCTCCAATTCATCACAGTTCAGTTGGCTCTACCTTAAAAATTAGCCTACCAGCAGGTAGTACAAAGATTAAGGTATTAGATGCCACACGGCTGACTCTGTGGTTTGAGTACTGGACCTGGTAGCCTGAAAAACTGCCAAACACGTGTGTGTGCATATCCAAAATCCCAAGGAGAATGGAAGAGAAGGGACTGCAGAGTGGTCATCCCCTTGGAGGGTTACTTCTCTCACTTACCTTCTCTCTCTGTCTCTCTCCAGCAAGCACATGTGTTGTACGGCAAAACAAAAACAAAACAAAACAAAAAACTTAAAAAATTTAGCCGGGATAAAGCCACTTCTTATCATGTCCACTGTTACTACCTTGACCGCAAGACCCCTAGATTTTATTTATTATTTATTTATTTATTGGAGAGGTTTTTGCTATAGGGCGTGTGCACTCGCCAGAAAGACAGAGAGAGAAAGAGAGACAGAAAGCGAGAAAT